CAAAGGTGATGTAGCTAGTGTCGGTTGGAATGTGATCGCTTCACCCGACGCGGCGCACGACTGGCCGAAGCAATCGGCCTATCAAGTCATCGTACATATGCGGTGGGATTGCACTACGCGACGACTCGCGAGTGAGATACGACAGAGCGTTTCGACCGGTGACGAAATTGCAGAATTTTATCCTCCCGGTATCAATGTCGTTTCTACGAACAATACCGTAATGTTGTTGGAGAACGATCACCCTAAACTCGCCATGTATCCCGACGGTAGTAAAGATTTGAATTCGCATTTTACGACCGAATGGCGCGGCGTCAATTACGAGTTCGTTCACGATCATATAACCAATCAATTTTGGTTGGGTGAGTTGTGCATAGATCGCGGTAAATAAATAGGTGCCCTTGTGAGACGCGAACAGGATCCGTGCGAATCCTAATAGCCCGGTAGGATTCTCCGTATCGTGGATCCTGTCGAGGGTGCGAATGGGCACCGTTCAAACGTAAACACGAAGCATCGCGAACACGGTGCCTCGACAGAGAGGACATTCACCGGTGGTTATTCTGACGGCGCAATTTAAGCAACATTTCAAATGACCGCACGGTAGAAAAAGAATATCGCTCAACGCGTCGCGACACACTACGCAGTGGTGATTACTACAAGATTCACATGACAACGGTGGCGACGACGGTGCTGTCGTGCCGCCGTTGCGACGCATCGTCGTCAGGTCGACTAGACATTCGTCGCGTAGAGAAATTCGTCGAGTTTTTCGCAAAGCGGTTAGACACGCGGCTATCGCTGATATTCTACGATTGGTTGTAACGAGACAAGTGTGACTGCACGCACACGCGCCTTTCGTGGCAACGAGCATTCGTTGGTACAACACATCTAATTCGGTCGCTAGCTTGCGATAAAACGATATCAAATTACCGAACATAACGTCCACTTGACCCTTCATCTCTTTCAGAGTATGATAATCGCGTAGCGTCGTATTAACGAGTGATCCGTAGGAAGCGGACAACGATACGAACATAACGTCGGTATTGTTGTCGCTTCTTCGGGTCGATCGAGGATTATTCGTTCGCCACTCCGGTTGGTCGCGATAACGTAAAATCAATGGACAATCAGGCGACCAATAGATATGTTCCACCAATGGGTCGCACAGACTTCTTCGTTTCTTCGTCGCGACACCACCATTGTCTTCGGAAACAACGTTTGCTCTTTTCACGTTTCGACGTCCGTCCACCGCGAATAAGTTTTTATTCCACTTTTCGAGAGTGACTCCGCACGTGTAACATGTTACTATATCGTGCGTGCCTACGAAGAAAAAGCCGTGATAACTTAACTGAACGGACGATACGTTTTCATTGAGAGGCCACGTTGCGAACGATTGTCTGCGCACGTTTATCTTCGAGTACATTGGAAATTTTATCTCCATTTTCGTACAAGCGCGGCATGCGTTGTTCGATAATCATCGATCGATTGGCAATCGCATTTGTATGAAATGCTTAATCAGAAACATTCGTCGCGCGCGTGTTGTCGTACTCACGGTAACCACATCCCCTAAAAGTGGGGGGTTATCTCGTACCGTTGCTGCGTCGTTAAACCCCTCCACCGAAAGATACGTGACCTTAAAAACCCCAACGCGTAGCCAGGCGGACGAAACACTGTAGAAAAATGCCGGCCGATAAACGTCGAAAAATCGAGGAGGAACTCGTACACACGGTAGATTCATTCTTCACGCTCGTGGAACCGTTGTTAAAAAAATATGTACGTCGCAAGCGACAATTGATACGAATTTCCGAGGTAATAGACAAAACGTTCGGTTTAACGAAAAAGACGAAAATTATTACTGACGAACGCATGAATGACGACGACGAGGAAGAATCTTCGTCGTCTTCATCGTCGTCGAGTGGTGGCGGCGGATCCGACGAGGACGATGGTGGAGAAAAAAGTATCAATGCGAGAGATTCATCACCGGAAAAAGATGATGAAGGTGGTGGTGTACTGCTGCGGAACGACGCGTCTTCCTCCTTTCCATTGACGACGACCTTCGACATAGGTGGTTTCGAAGTCGTTGTAGCGGAAACGACAACGACGACAAATAAGGAAACGACGACCGTTCATCATCATTCGCCGCCGCCGCCGCCGAACAACGAGCAACAAGTGTCATTAATGGAGACCGCGTTGCACGAAAGGTACGACACCATTCACATGGTAATGGAAGATTGCGATACATGTAAGTGTGGCTTTTGTTTCGATTGTTGTCGAGATTTTATTTTCACATCAGTAATTCTTTTTCTAAACACAAGTGTTATTCTGTCCGTAGATCACATTCGACCTCGTCGTACGTCCAACGAGGATGTGCTTCCCATCGTATCGACTCGATTGATACGCGACGCTTTTTCTGTGCTACATCCGCTTTGGAATCAAACGGACATATACGCAGCGACGTTTACAACATCGACGCACGTGTCTAAAGTATTGCGATCTAAAAACACCGGTGCCACGTATCTGAAACATTCGCTCATAGATACATCGTGCGAACAGTGTTATATGTACGACAATCGATATCAGTATTGGAAAACATTAGGTAAAGAGGGAGTCGAATGCGTGTACAGCGTGTATCTCTCGAACGATTCGCGCAAAACGACGTTGCAGAAGAACAGCGCGTTCGTGATACCCGTATTTACCACCGATAATAACGTCGACACGTTGTTACGACATCGACAAAAATTACATTTTAAGAAAATATCGAACGAAAAAGCGATCGAAAATTTGACAACTATGTCTTCCACACTGTTGTGCGTGCCTACAGCCAATCTTTTCGTTTATATTCCGCAATACTTTTGCGAGGTATTTATGGTCGTTGGGAACAAGGTTAATTACGATACTCGTAGTTACATTGTTCGCGGTTTCGATCAAACGACGTTGTACACCTTGATGCTCATTTTTGAGCGACGTGATTTATTGCAACGGGGAAAAACTTGTGATAACTTTTACGAATATAGATGAATCTAACGCAATAATAAATCCATGTGTCACGAGTGTTTACAGAGGTTCCGAAGATATTTTATACAACCCGCAACAATGAAATATAGAAACATCGAAAATGACAAGATTTTTTGATTTACCTTTCTGTTTTTTCAGATTATCGACGTCGTTATATTACGAATGATGTTGTTTAATCGCGTCCGAATGTTTATTAATTTTGCTTCGTCGAATATTATCGTGAAAATGAAATAATCATCCCGCCATTTCTCACGTCTTAATAATCTCATTACGTTTCGTTCGTACACTCGTCTTTCCTGTACGTTTTTCGTACGCATTCCCGACAGGTTCGGAATGTGCATAGCGATCGTTTTGAAGAGAAACGATCTGGGTAATTTGAAGGTGGTTTTTAATGACGACAATTTCTCAACGCTCCATACGCGCGACATCGGTAACGAAATAATCGTGTCGCGAAGCCGCGGTTTTTTCGTCTCGTCAAATCTGATTATAAAATGTCGAGTCGCGCCGTCGTCGGGCCATACGGTTCGATACGACAGTCCGAACAAACCGCCGTGTTCGTTGAGGAGATCGGATAATTCCAACCCTATCGAGAATGCGGAACAATCTTTCGCGATCGTAGCGACTGTCGAATCATTCATCGTCGTCAAAGTAACGAGCGGAACGTTCATCACCTCGAAATTAATATTCGATGAAACGGACCAACGAAGGAACGATTTCTCGTCGATTTCGATGCGTTGTCGCGTGTCTGTTTTTTTAATAAGATACGACGTCAGTGATGAAGTGTTTTCTATCGTTGACAGTAACAGTATTACTATTATTGTTGTCGAAAGTAACGACGACGTTGTTCTTTGTCGTCGATGATCCGTTACCGCGACAGATTTATGTTGAATCGTGCGCATACGAAGTGCGAGACTATCCATGGCGTTTCGAACGAACCGTCGACAATCGTATTTATATCGACGAATCGATTATTCGTAAGCAAGTAATGTCGTGTGACGGCGTGTCTCCGACGAATATTCTCCGAAAGTGAGGTAAAAATACTGATTTGCAACAACAAAATAATTTTACCACTCGAAGAGGATCGTTTTAAAATAATAACGAAAAATCATTCGTCCATTATAGGACACAAAGGTGTAACCAAAACATACGATCGAATTAGGCAAAAATATTTTTTGCCTTATATGAAACAAACCATACAAAACTTTATACAGAAGTGTAAAAATTGCCAGCTTAAAAAACTTGTACGTGTAAAG